TAAATATATTTCTTGATTCATGAGAGGTGCCAACTCATCTTCTCAAGTCCCTCCATTATATATATATATATATATATATATATATATAGATTATTTAAGTATCCATACCACCTCACCTTTTATTAGCTACTATTATTTGTAACTCTCAAATATCATGCTGAAATTTCACGTCCCGTAGAACTATATATAAATATCTTCTATGTGATGTTCATGCGGACTGAATATTATATTCTTACAAACTTACTAATTCTGAAGTTTGAAATCTCCGAATTTATGACAGAATATTTTGTTTGGTCAAAAGCTTTTGAAGTATCAGTTTTTGTTGCAAAGTTACTCTTTTTAGAGTTTGAAATTTGCATTTGTGAATTTTTTTATCAATAGCAAGAATGTAATCTAAATTAGGTCTATTTAGTATTAAAAAAAATTACTTGTAGATTTTAAGCGTTTCTTATCAAGAAGGTAACCTGTAACATCCAAGGCACTTGAAGGAAACATTTCAACAAGTATGTATATAGTACAAGTATAAGGTCAATATAAGCAATCCACTCATAAGGAGAAAAAAATATGTAGAAAAGCTCACTATATTGGCAATAAGTGAGACCACAAAGCAAGCACAAGTCAACTGATCAACCAACTTAGTAACGCTAGACAATCAAGTAGCAGCTCACAGTTAATCAATTAATATGAAATGGTACCAAGATGGTTTAGAATAAGTACACAACACAGCATAACTAGAGCTCATGCACCAATCATGTTACATATATATTATTCCCTAATAAAGATAAGAAATCTAAATACTGATCTATTCTATCTAGAATACTGCTATGACACTAAAAATACAAATTCATGATACATTTATTTTTTATTCTAGATATTCTTTATTGGTCCTCTAGTTTGAATTAAGATTTATGTACCATAACAAAGGAGAAGAAAAATGGGCAAGAGTCAAACTAATTAGCAAGAACATTAGTAAATTTGAACGATTGTGGGAATCAGTAAATAAGAAATATTTTCATTCACCAAAGCCCCAGTAAATCAAAACATTTTCATCATGCTAATATTTTTCATTGTTTAAATCTCATAAACCCACCAAAGATCGAGAGTAGAAAATAGTTTAATTTAAAAGATATCGGGAAGAACAGAAGATTTTCATCTTCAATGTAAGATTTTTAGTATTAGCTCTAAGGGGGTAAATGGATATTTAAAAACCGACTAAACCGACCGAATCGTACAGCACCGAATCGATTTTTAGGTTTCTATTAATAAAATTGTAGATTTTTTATATAAATCTATCACTATACCGATAATTAGTGTGCGTTTTTTATTTTATGAAAATAAATCAAAAAAATATCGAACATTACCGAATAAATCTACATGTGAAAATATATTTATATATTAAGTTCAAAAATAATAAAGCATTAAATTTTTCCTTGGACCTTGGAATTACGAAAATGGTTACAAGACAACAAGTAATTAAAATCAAAATCCTAATTACCCCTATTATACTACTCCTACTGAAACTAAATTATTTCCAGCATATTCACTAGCAAGACACAAAGTATTCTAGCGATTATGAGTAGCAAACTACAGTGTATTGAATATGTTTCCTTTCGTATAATTTTGATTTATCTTTTTGAATATTTAATCTTGTATAGACTTTATTCTTGAGTCTCAGCTTGGTTAATATCTTTCTACTCGTGTGATTTATCTTTCCTTTGGCTTTGCTTAGTTTCTTTTAGTGGAAATGCCACCAGGTAGCCAATTTTAAGCATGTTGTTTACAATATGTCCACAACGTACAATGTATTTAAAGCTTAACAAATTTTGCTCAAACTTCAGAATACGGCGTCCTAGAGTTTAAACCTCAAAATTCAAATTTTAGGATATCATGTCCTAAAGTTCGAAAATTGTGTCTAGAAGTTCAAATCTTATGTCCTGAATTTTAAATTAGTAGTTCAGAAATTCAGGACACTTTGTCCTAAATTTTAAATTAGCAGCTCAAAAATTTAGGACACTAAGTCATGAATTTTCAAATTGAGGATATTTAGTCCTAAAGTTTGGGTAAACTGGCTAATCTTTAAATACATTATAAATTGTGAATATATTTTAAAAAGTGGGCTTACGTTGCTGTAGAGTGGTTGATGAATCTATACTCTGGCATCTTTCATGTTTTCTTAATTCATCACCATTTAAATAGTAGAACTATCTAGAGAATTTTGCTATCCTATAAAAGTATGTATGTTATTACATTCTACTTTTACTAGTGACTTTTACATGACATTTAAAAAATACCAAAAATTAACCGAACCATACCGATACCAAAGAAAAACCGATATGATTGGGACGATTTCGAAAAGTCTAATTTTGATTATACAAAATAGAATAACCGAAAAAATGGTATAGTACAAATTTTATGAAATAATCGGCCGAACCGAACAATTGACACCCCTTTTAGCTCCGCATCAGGTGGTACAACAAACTTCTTCTCATTAATATTCTGTAATTTACCAAGTCTAAAGCTACCACAACCACCTCTCACTCTTTTTTTTATTTTCCGGGCAAGTTTAACTTTTATTGCAACGACTGTTTTCGTCTTTCCTTTTTCTTCACAAATGGACATTGCGGCATTACAGCTTTTGCCATCATTCATCACTTAGAGCTCAGAGGATGACACTAATAAATTTGTCCAACAAACCCATTGACAATTAGTTGACATAACCAGAGGCTCTCGTCTGCTGTAGCACCTCCTACTTTCCAGCTAGCTTGCTCATCGCTGCATTAACCCTCTCATCTGTGATCATTTTGTGGCCGTCATAGAAATCTAGTATCTCCATTGCTATGTTTTTCACCTGTCAATTTTGAGGGCTTAATAGGTAAGAAATCAAAAAAATAGAGTAGATAAGAAGCGGTCCAGATGACTATGAGATACTTCATTTAGAACAGTTCATGATGTAAGCTGTTCATAACTCTATATGCACACGCAGCGAAGGTTTCAAGAAAGAAGGCTAATAGCTGTGTCAAACTAGTGCCTAGACGACACTTTGAGAAACGTTTTCCCCATCGAAGCATTACACAACACATTTCTGATCAGCCACTATAACAATAGCATGGAGCACAGTGTGGGAGTATGCTAAATGTTGAAATGTGTGACCATCTCACCTAAAAGCTTAAGTTGTTAGAGAGAACACACTTTTATTACTTAGTCTCTTTAACACTCAATTCCTAAAATCATATTACAGAAAAACATATCAATCCACATAGACAGGTACTTCTTTGCTAGTAAATTCACTATCATCTCCAACGCCAAAGACAAAACATACTCTTGCAGAATAATGATTCTGACCTGTCAGGTCAAGGGTATCTTTTGTAGCAGTTAAGTTTCTTGGAAGGAACGCATGACAGCAATTGGGTGCAGATTTAGGTTTTGTAGACATACCACATTCACATCAACTCGAAGCTCCTCAAACCAGGCAGTAGTTTCTTTATCTTTGAGCACACTTGCTATGTATATACATGCCAATGCAATCAAGTGTGGCGGATGTATGAGAATTAGGTCCATCTTATAGGTGTCATTCACAAGTCCCCTGAAAGATTGTACAATTGATAAATGCTGAGACCTTGTTATAGTTTAGCATCTTTACATAGATAGTCAGGGTCGATTTTGATTTTTTGGGATGTAATCAGGCACAACCTTTGTGCTATTTATTAATAATACACTTACCATTTTAACAAAAATAAAGATGGTCCAATTGATAGTAATCTAGTATTTTTCCGTGCAAGTCAAAGATATCGGGCAGCCTAGGAGAAGTTGTTTCTTACCATGTTAATTGAGCTGTATCATTCATGCCAGCGTCCTGTAACAACCTGCCAATTAGAGAGTTTGGATAGACACAATCAGCTAAAAAGGAAATCGTACTCTGATTCCAATTGGAGGGAAATAGTAAAGGGACCAATTTGAGGAAGCAAACAGAACTACATCACATTAATGACATTTCGAAAATGTTAATCTCTCTAGAGATATTGTCCACCAACCGTAGGCTGCCCAGAGAGCAACACAGTATAAAACTGTAAAAAAACACTTTACTTTTGTAATACTCGAATAGAAGTTCTCCAGCAGGTTGTCAGAAGGTAGATTAATCACTCATACAGAAAGGTCATTCAAGTCTAGACATAAAAATCCATGGAATTAATAGAAAATATCAAAGCTTGACTTCTTCTGCTACAAGCTTAGTCAGCATAAGAAGAGTGAAGTTAAGGTGAGATTAGACGGGATTGCGCTGTCTAAATGCAAATAATTCTAATATATATGCTCGATACTCCAGAAGAATGGTTTGATAATGAAGATGTTAGTAACAGAACCGTAACCTTTAACCGAACCGATGGTTTATTGGCTTATTAGTATCGGGTTATCGGGGTAATGGTTGGTGAACGGATTGAGATTTTATAATTAACGGCTTAACGGTTTGGGGGCGGATTACTCAATTTTCTTATCGGATAAACCGTTAACCCGTTAAGAATTTTTATATTTACACTTTTATATGGGATCAACAGAATTTACAGGAGTATTATCAGAAAATAAATCTGAAAATGCCTTCAAGTTTTGTAGGTGTTGGGGATTCTGATTGTATATAAATTTTCAGTCAATTTGACTAGTTTTCAGTCTTTCCCTTTGTTTTGATATGAAACAGGATAGCTATGCAACCAAAAGAAATACTTATAATAAGTGCAGTAGCAACAGATGTTAAAAAGCCTAGTAAACTAAAAAGGGGATGAAACTTATAGTCGAGTCACTTTATCAGGTTTGGCCGTTTGGTATACACACGACTAGGATTGTTCAAAAATATTTTATTTGATTTAGCCGATAAACCGTCCAATAACCGCACGATAATTGTTAATCCGATACCAATCCGCCCGTTATCTTATTGGATGGCTAACGGATTACTACATTTATAATCCGATAACCGATAAGCCGAACCGTTAAATGTAATTATTCGTCCGATCCGCCCGATAAGCACCCCTAGATGTTACACATAGAATGAATATAAGATGGTTGAAATATAGAAGTGCTACTACAGTGTTATGTGATAGAAAGATACCGATCAAAGTGAAAGGCAAATTTTATAGAATAGTTATCAGCCATGAATTTTGAACTGCTGAAGTCCACATATCCACAAGATAGGTACTGCAGAGAAGCAGATGCTAACATGGACAAGATAAGACAAGATTAAAAAATGATCACATTTGGAAGAAGGTGGAAATAGCAGACATTAAGGATAAAATGACAGAAGATTGAGTGATTGACTTCTGAGAGGCCAATCTTCCCCTCATGGCTGTAGGGGAAGCGTTCCACGTAGACTATGAAACCAGAAGCCATGCTTTCATGCTAAAGGGAGACCATTGGACGACCTCATAACCTCCTAACCGCCCCAAGTTCTCTGCCCAAAATCAGCCTGGGTTCTTCCCATGCCCCCTCTCTCACTTCCCCTCCAGGGTCCACGCCAGCTATATTGGACTAATAGCAAGAGAACTGAGCCTGCATAAAATGCACTTGGGTGCTCTGAGGCCAGCCCGGCCATGGTTAGGCAGATTGACTGCTAGTTCCAGAAGACAATGAAACCAGAAGCCAATCTTTCAGGTTTAAAAGACTTTTGAAGACTAAACCCTCATAGCAATAACTTCCTTTTTTTCTTGTTATTCTCATCAAGGTCTTCTCTATTGGCAGAAGAAGGAGAACTAGATGAACTAATTCTGAGATTCTGCAATCTCGTTGCTGCATAAGCACACATACATGCAGCTAGATACCCGATATGGCGTTACTAAACCAAATAACCAAACCTATTGGGTTGTTTGATAAGAAACTCAGTCTCCGGGGGAAAGTTTTATATGGGGAACTTGGTATCATTCCGTTACCCCACATTGCTCATAAGGCATCACATGGTGGCAGGTAGATACTTTGATCTCCCTGATACAAATTGATCTTTTATTGTACAGCACATTTGGTAATCTTAAGAAGATATACTTACTGAGACAACGATCGGTATGGATGGAATATAACTAAGTAATAATTGAGGGCTTCCAAGATTTTCATCTCCATGTCAAGTATGTCTTTTATTTCATACCTATACTTGTCATCTGAATCTGCAAAACCAAATTGCAAACAATCATCTTGTCACCACTAATCACAGCTGATATTCAATAAACTGATGCTAGAATAAGAGGATATGCCAATACAATTACTTCATCAGAGTGATCAACAAGAATTTACATAATTTTTTGATGTAAAATACAAGAAGTCTGGCCTGCACAGTGCTTTCTTCTGATTTTGATGCCAAATATAAGCAAGATGGAGCAACCAGACGAGGATCGCATTCAGTCATACTTCTCCTACGAGAAATAGAAGAAACGGTAATTAGAAAGTTATACACTTCAAAATACAAGGAGGTATGCTCCGCCGTGATGCATCACCAGAGACCTAACAGCATAGAGTAAATTTGAAGTTTGAATACGTAAATTTGAGGAAAAGATAGAGAATCTGAACCAGAGACTATTATTTCACTTAGATTCATTACCGTCACACGTATGAGAACAGTTAACTTCACTTAAGTACATTGCATTTGTTCTGCATGACTCGGAATAAAGAGGACACAAAGTGATAGAGATCATTTGCTAAATTGTTGTTACACCCCACACTATTCCCCCACATATAAAGTTGAAGATTAATGAGTTTTTTACACAACCAATCAGCCGGCAGCACGTTATAAGGACATGGAGGCGGTTATATTTGACCAGATTGTGCCAGCTGTCCCACCGGGCGTAGTGGCCGGTGCGGGGCGACCTGTTTGGCATATGGGGCGGTGGAATTTCCTAGACTTAGTAGAAACGGCAGTGCAGCTCTCTTCTCTTCCATTTTAGGATATCACCAACTTCAGTTCACCTAAAATACTCTTAAACCCCTTTGAGAATTTCTAAATAGTCTAAGGCTTAATCAAAGGCGGACCTAGTAGGATTTGGCGTGAAGAAATTGAGATCGTCACTATAATATTTGTTATCTTGTTATACTGATTTCTGGAGATTCATTGGAGGCGGAGTTAATCACCACAAAAGCGTAAGAACTCGGGAAGCGTAGCTAGTTCTTCAATAAGGTATGTAAGACAACTTTTCTTCTTGGCATGATTTGGTGTAAGCGTCTCTCTAAAAAAATTTGTGTTGTAAGATTGGTTCGTTCTAAGCCCTTCTCAATAATGTTGCTTATGTTCTTATACATTCCTACGGTAGCATTTCATTCCAGTCTGAGGTGTTCCTAGACAGTACCGTGAGGTCGGAAAGACATGATTCATTTTGAGTTTAATCTTAATGTCTCTTGAAGCTAATCTTGCAATGCATATATATATATATATATATATATATATATATGTATGTATCTACTTTACTCTACTGAGTCGTGCTATAGTCGGCCAGGTACGGCACCTATTGTGCAACCACTGATCAGTTGGGTAACATGATGTGTGATGTGAGGTTACCGAGTCCTCTTGAGGCCGACTACGCCGAGTCCTCTTGAGGCTGGGTATAGTCGAGATCTCCTGAGGCCGGGTATGACCGAGTCCTCTGTGAGGCCGGATACGGAGTGGGAGTCCTTTTGAGACCGAGTACGCCGAGTTCTGTTGAGACAGGGTACAACCGAGATCTTTTGAGGTCGGGTATGATATGATACAATATGATATTATGTGCCTCAAAGAGTGGCTTAATGGTACTATATTATGTATTTAATGCATAGCCCCAATGAGAGGCCTCATTTTTACAAAACTTGCATGTTATTATGATTCATGGTTCCCGCAGTATACGCCCCCGGTGGCTTGTCTTCGGTATGCAGGTTGAAGTGATGTATCCGTACCTCTTATGTTATGTCTTTGATTTACGTGCCTTATCAGTCTTACATACTCAGTATATTTTCCGTACTGACGCCCCTTTCTTTTGGGCGTTGTGTTCCAGCCCACAGATACAGTCAAATCCGGTGACGTCCCTCCCCAGTAGGGTGCTCGTTTCTGCGGTTGGTGGTCGCACTCCACTTCTCCAGAGTAGTTGTTCAGAAGTCAATAGGTACTTAAGTATATGTCCGATCATTTTGGGTACGGTGGGGCCCTGTCCCGACTAAGTCATGCACTTTATTTTGGTACTCTTAGAGGCTTGCAGACTAGTGTTCGGATGTATGTAAGGGTTGGTTATGACTTTGTCAGTTTGTTGGCTACAGTTGTGAAGTTGTATAAAATGTTAATGTTTCTTTCACAGTCAGTTGTACACAATCTTGTTGGTCCAGATTCCACGTTAAAGGGGTCTAAGTATAGACGTTGTTCGCACGGGCATTCGAGCATCATGTGCCGGTCGCACCTCCCGAAGTTGGGGTGCGACAATTGTAGATCCTAATTTACCTATTCACAAGACATGTGAAGATTAAATGTAAAAGCACTAGTTATTTTTCTTCATCTTGAAACCGTCAGTAATCCTAAGAACGTGCACAGTATAATAAGACCATTAGGGAAATCTTATAAGTAACATACTTCAGAAGAGCGACACCGATTTATATGGATCTTGGTGGTTATATGGTAGGTACTAGGTACAGGGTCTAATTTAGATACTGGGTACCAAGACCCTGAAAGTAAAATGCATATTCATTTTTCTTTCACAATTGCAAATAACAAGATATACCTGATGTACACACGTCTCATGTAAGTAATGGCTGTGGCGACAACCCTGGAAATAACCAACATATTAGAAATCCCTGAATTACTCAAAACTCCTCATGCCAATAGTATGCAAATATAAAGAGCAGTATAAAGGGCGGCCCGGTGCACTAAGCTCCCGCTATGTGCACGGTCCAGGGAAGTACCGGACCACAAGGGTCTATTGTACGCAGCATTACCCTGCATTTCTGAAAGAGATTGTTTCCACGGCTCGAACCCGTGACCTCCTGGTCATATGGCTTACCCTGCAGTATCTCTCTTTAAAATAATCATAGGCTTAACAAAAGTTGACCATTTCAACAGTAGCAACATCAACTATGGAGACGTCCTCACAGCAAAACTGAATGGTTGATAATTGAAGGTTCCATTCATAAGAAAAGGATATGCTCATAGAAAAAATAAGTTTCGCACGCTAATGAGAAAAGAGCGCACCTTTGTCTCACTTTGACATTTTGAGCCAATCTTGCAATATCTGGAAAGAAGCAGAAAGATGAAAAAATTAAGATATAGATTAACATAATTTCAGTTGTTCAGGAGAAAGAGTCCAAAAGTAGTTAAGAAACAGAAACAGAAAGAAAGAAAAATGTGAACGCATGCAAGTATGATCAAGAAAGGATGAGCAGTATCATATGTGCACTGGAGCAACTTTCTCAAGTTTCGGTTTTAATTATAGAAGAATACAAGTCTCTCTCTTTTTTCTTTGTTTCCTTTATGTGATAACATTGGACGGGAATGAATGGGGTTCAAATGGATCAACATGGATAGCGAGAATTCTTACATCTGAACCAGACTAGTTTGGAATTGAGGCATCACTGTTGTTGTCCCGATCAATTTGCGCCGAGTACCTCTCCTCACCAACATTTAGGCAGATGAGAAGAAATCACATTTCTTTTTGCTTCTATTAGAATTCGAATCATGTACTCTCGCGGTTGTCATTTCAGCCTCATCGACAAGGGAAATTAATTCTACTAATAATTGAATATTTAATCGGTCTAATAACATTACAAGATTAAAAAAAATAAGTCTGCATACTCATTGTTTGATGTTAAAGAACTTGAAAACGGACATTAAAAGATGGAGGGGCAGAAAAAGGTAACTACTCAAGTAGCTAAACCCAAAAAAAAAATGTGGCTTCAATGAATTACTGGATATAATGTGAAGCAAGAAATAATGCAATTAATCAAGCAAACCAGAGTAAAGTTGGTATTTTTGAAAGGGTTTACAATAAAGAAAATTCTAGAAAATCTGAAAAAGATTTATAAAAAGATGGTGAATAATGTAATTAGGCTACACACACACCCACAGAGAGAGAGAGAGAGAGAGAGAGAGAGAGAGAGAGAGAGAGATTACAATTGGACATATGCAATTTGATGAGCTTGAAATCGTCAAGGGTAATGCCCCTCTCCTTATCAAGCTGATGCACGACATCCACCTCTTCAGGATCTAGAAGTTCTTTGCTGCTCAGACAAAACCAAAGAAAATATATTAAATGAAAATAATAGGATTCTTGAACAAACAAAAAACACCTGCAGATAGAAGAAGCAAAAATAATATGGGAATTCCCACATACTAGTGAGATGAAGTCCAGAAATTAGCAGACATTTTTGTATCCGAATTGCTTTGAGCTACCAAACAAGAACGATCTCCCTTATGTTATCGGTTGCTTCAATAAAACGTTCCTCTTCTTGCTTCTCTCTTGTTTTTTTCTTTTTTAAATTATTGTTTTAGAAAGAATTTCCTACCGGTAGCTTAAAGTTAAACTTCATACAGCCCAACATGCAAATACTGGATTGGGCCAATGATAAACCCATGACAAAAAAAGAAATTTTATTTCCTATAACAAATGTATACACCATATTTATTATAAATTAAGATCATTTTAAAATATTATTTTCTATATCTATCTTTTATAATTTATAGCAAAATAGGTATTTATGATATATACTACCATTGAGGCGTGAAATTATGTTTTTCTCTCTCTTTCTTTTAATTAACACAAGATTCTCTCTCATATTTTTTCTTCTTTCTCACTCTTTTCTTTCTCGATCAACTCAAGCCCTAGTATTGATGGCCGACGAAAAAAAAGAATCTCTCTCTTCGATTCTCTCTCAAATTTTTTCTTCTTTCTCTCTCTCAAATTTTTTCTTCTTTCTCTCTCTCTTCCTTCTCTCTTCGAGCAAATCAAGCTCTAGTATTGATGGTCGATGAGAAAGAAGAATCTCTCTCTTCGAGCAACTCAAGATACACTAGTATTGATGGTCAGCGAGACATTAGAATAAAGTAGAAGGCAGCCAGGAAACAGAAATGAGTGAATTTTTCGACGAACTTTCTTCTCTTCTTGGCCGGAAAACGCCATCTCCGACGAATTTTCTTCTATTCTTTGCTATTTAGTCACATAGAAATATAAATATATTGTATTATGTACAAATTCACTCAAACACATTGTATTTTTATATAAAAACTATTTTTGCATGTATTTATATATTTGAAGATCTGTTGTTTTAATACAGCTGAATACACATGTATTTATGCATACTGTACATACAGTATGCATGAATACAAGATACAAATATTGAAATACACTGAATACAAATATTAAAATATAATAGAATATAAATAGTGAATACATTTAATTTTAAAATATAGTGAAATATAGTAAAATACACTGAATATAACTATAAATACAATAAATACAACCAATGAAATATACTGAATACAATAATAATAACATGTATTAGGAATAACTAAAATACTGTTAATCGAATATTCCCCTATCTACCTGAATTCAATTAGTAAGAAAAAAAATATTACATAAAGAGTAAAAATCCATAAAACATGTTCCACAGGGCACCTGTTCAATAATCAAGACTCCTTCCTTTCCAAAAAAAGTTAATTAGTTTGGGCTGGCATAAGCATAAAAGATTTGATTGAATGAATGCCACCTTGGTAGTTTTCAAACAAATCCAATGTTGGGCCAAGCCTTGCCAGCCGGAAGCGAAAGAGTATAGCAAGCCGTAGGAGATCCCCAAAACTACAGGTGCTGGGGATTGTTTGCCATAACGCTCTAGTTGCTTGGTTGTTGACCAAAGAAAAATATGAGAATAATTGAACGTAACATTTTTTAACCGCTTATTTACGATAAAACTAGTGCCCCAAATCAATGCATTCCATTCTTAGCAGAGGTTCCTTCCATATAATCCCTCAAAGTACTTCGCTCACCTTCGAAGAGTGAAAGGATCATTCAAAGCAGACTAAAGGCATAGGGCAAATGAGCTTAGAAGGGTGACAGAGGGGAGTAGTAAGGTATGAAATCACTTAGATAGAAGCATGTTGGATGACAGAATGATGACTTCATGCTTAAATTCTAAATTTGAGATTTCTGACCTTGAGAAAGTACATAAACCTGCTCACAAAGAGCTACAAGACAACCAAAAATATTACTGCTAATAAAATAAAAGTGAACAAAACCAAATCAATATGATATTTAATAAGCCCACTTTTTGAGAGAGAAAACCTGAATTTGTTGAGGAAGATCAGTTGTAAAGGATGTCTTCTTGTGAAGATTATGGTTTCCTCACTTGACCTTCTTTCTAGCCTTTTATTTTGAGTCGGGATACCACACGCTCGGTTAATCACTAAGGTCTTATACATTTTTATGTTGGATGATTTCGTCCGAGGATTTAAATAGCTATACCCTAGTCCTTTATAATTATGAAAAAGGAATGGATGGAGAGGACGACTCCAAGGTTTGTTTCTCTTGGTGTCAACATAGGTACAAATACATTTAAATACACTGAATATAAAATAGCGAATACAGTAAATACAAACATTGAATCTCATGAATGCAACGGTAAGAAAAAAATATTGAAACACACTAAATACAACTGAAAAATCATTCTAATTAATTGGGTTGATAATGAGACATGTTAGAATTGATTTTGTTGGGTTATATTTAGGAGTGTATCATGCTAATTAATATTATTTTCGTTATTAGAAAGCTGGAGATACCTATTTTTAAGGTGATTGTCGTTACTGTATTCATGAATACATGGCGCGAATACATGTGAATACATGCACGTACAACTAGACTGCCCTAATTTTAGACACTTTTTGTTGTTGTATTCATGAATACGGCAGCGTGAATACAACAAATACACTATCATAACAACTGAATAGTAACTATAAGATATAATTATGTATATGGTACCTATAGGAAGTTAATAGCCACTAAATAATAGTGGCTTCTGAAAATTCCTCGACAAAAAAAGGTGGAAATAACGTGGCTTGACCACTTTTTTACATGGTATTTAGGACCCGTTTAGACATAGATTTTCAAATATTTTTGAAAAAGCTGATTTGGATGAAGTTTGATTTGAAATTGAAAATGTATTTGGACATAAATTTTTAGGTAAGTTTTGACATGTTAAAAAGTTTATTTTTTCTTTTTCCAGCTAAAAAGTCTCAAATGGTCATGATTAGACCCAAAATGAGGTGTTAAGTTATATTTGGGATTTAAAGTTTTGGTTTTAGTTGGTTTTCAAAATACCTTAAAAACTAGATTAATTCTATAAACAAACACATATTTAAAAAAAAATTGAAAAAAAACTTCCAAAACTTATGACCAAATGCCTACTTAGATTTGAGCCAATGTTTTAAATGTTGAGCAGGAATAGCCAACTCTCAGTTGCAAAAACTTTTAACACATTTTTGCCCTTTACTCTGTTTATCTCCTTCCTATTAAAATACAAGCATGTCGGTTTTTCTTTATCCATCTTTGTTTTTCTTTGCTTCTGCTTTTCGGTTTACAGTCTACATGTTCAAAGTTTCATCATTAACAAACCTAAACTACTAAACATGATATCTATTTGGAAAGTTTGTACTGAAACGAAGATGTATATAGTATATGGATTAAGAAGAAAAGAATTAATTTGCTTTTATTTTGGAATGACATAATGGATATGGGGCATCATGGTGGCGATTTTGCAACTTTGCTTAGTTGCTGCAGAGATTTGTTGCTTAAGAAACATTTTGTAATGCTTTTTTGAAAAGCTCAAGATTTCTTGAGTCCCCAAATTTTCAAACTTCTGTCCTGAAGTTCATTGGATGAAGTTAAAACTTTAGACATTTTTGGACTATTGTCCCTATCTTTCAATTACCATAAAACATTGAACTTTCAGACATAGTCAGGGGCGGATTTATAGGTGTAGTTACGGGGCAACGTGAACTCATGGTCTTTCCGTAAAATTAGATATTTTATGTATATATTTTCTAAAATTTGTATAATATTAACTGTTGGCACCCATACACTAAAAAAGTTGAATGGTGCATTTGGTTGGAGGATGAGTTATTTATTGAGAGGTATAGGGATCAATTCTCACTTGATACAATTTTTTCTTTTTTTTAGTAGTGCACCCATGTACTAGAAATCCTAGATCCATATAGTATTTTTAATGTCGAACTGAATGGCTCAAACTCCACGACCAACATCCTGAAATTCAAACTTCACGAGATAATGTCCTAAAATTCGAAATATACAACATAATGTCCTGAAGTTCATATTTTGAAGCTCAAACTTCAAGACCAACATCCTAAAGTTCAAACTCGACAATTCAAACTTCATGACATAATGTCTTAAAATTCGAAATCCACAGTTTAAACTTCAGGACATTATGTCCTGAAGCTCACATTCCGAAGCTCAAACTTTAGGACATAGTGTCCTGAAATTCGGAATCTATAGCCGAAATTCAGGACATTGTGTCATGAAGTTTGGAGTTCACAACTTAAACTTAAGGACACAGTGTAATTTGTGGTGCACAATTCACCATTTGCTTTGCTTATGTCTTGCTGCTTTCTTTGAACAGCTCCAGTGCAATATATTTGGTGTTGTTTCTTCTGGCTTTTGCTGCTTCTTCATTACTATTGAAGTTTCTATTAATTTGTATGCTATTTGTCTATTCATTCGTGCTACTTCACTGCCATTCTGTCAATTTATTATTTTTCAAATTCGTCAGCTTCAAATATGATGGCATCTCCTTCATATCAGTAATTGTGACAAAGAAGGAAATGAACCAGAACGGTGGCTCGTGTTGCTAGCTTTGACTTGTGTTGCATAATATTAGAGCATATATTTTGTGTTTTTATGCGGAGGCGGTACTTATTGAGACAAGCGTTTGTCGCATTCAAAATAATTTATAAACAGTGGCTGAAGCTTAAATACTGCATTAAAAATTACTGTTCCCGCACTTCGCCCAAAAAAAGGGGTAAGTGCAGGTATCGATTTTGGAGCTACCATTAAAGTCATACTCACGTTATATTAAAAGTTATAAATTTATCTACTTTGAAATATACTTCCGGGACTAAAGTTCCAAACACTCGCGTCTAAAGTTATAAATTTTGGGCAGTATAAATTTCAAAGTGCGAACTTCGACATTTTTGTTTAAGTTTGGCACCAAACTTCATACATTTTTGCTTGAAGTTTAGCCTGACTTACCAAGGTGAACTTCAAATATTTTTACTAAATAGCCTTGGCAAGGCCAACTTCAGACTTTTTTTTTTATTGAAGTTATGGCTTTGAATTTGCTTCTTCTGTGTTGTGTTGGTGATGGCTCCTTCACAAACTTTCACTGAATGTGTCGTACTGTAATAGTCAAGCTTATGCAAAATAGCTTCGATAATTTTGGCAACATCTTGTTCCTCCATATTTAT